GTACTGGCAACTCAACTTAATGCAGAAATGAACATAAACAAAATTGCTGGAGAGGCTCAGCAGGTCTGGCAGCATCTGTGAAGGAAAAAACAGAGTTAATGCTTCAGGTCCAGTGAACCAGTTCTGAGGAAGAGTCACTGGACCCAAAACGTTAACTCTTTTTTCTTTCACAGATGCTGCCAGACCTGCTGAACTTTCCCAGCAACTTTGTTTTTGTTCCTGATTTACAGCATCCGCAGTTCTTTCTGTTTTTACTTGATGCAGAAAGTAATCTATTAAATGTGCTTATGGCTCTACTTGGCTGTCTCTAAGCTAAAACAGACTTTACTGTGTTGAAGATGACAAGATTCATTGGATAGGACTGCACAACACACCCATCCCGAATAAAATCAACAATTTCAATGAACAGCACTTCAATGCTTCAAAGATGGATATATAATTCAGCCGATCCCAGTCATTACAAAGTAGAGCATCCTGATCGTGCAGAAGCACGGGGCTTCATTGTAATGGTGCAGCTAGTGGCATGCCAATTGTATCTGACATGTCTCAGAGCTTTTGATCTGGGTGGCTTTACGGGAGTAAAATAGAGGAAGCACCTACATGTAAAGAACAATTAGCACTCCAGAAACCTGGATAACACCTGCAACAGGGGAACAGTGACAGATGCTTACAAGCAGCTTATAAGTAGGCAATAATGTACAGAGATGGGAAATAGATAAACTTCATTACAATTCAGTTTTAAAGCAGAAAATGAAGCAACAGAAAATGAATGTTTACACCAAACGCAAAATAAAACAGCCATATACTACGGTCATGCCTCTTGAATAATTTATCTATAAGATCAGTAGAATCTATAACAGCAGTAGACCTAAACTCACCGACCGCTTTAGACCAACCAGATAGAACATGAGACAGATCAACAGAATCTCCCCATTCAGTTTTATTTCTGTCTTCCACGGGTGACATTCGGATCTTTATTTAATGCTACCTTGTGACAGACCAGCAGAAATAGGAAACTAAATCTTATCACCAACGATGTCATGTATCAGTGCTTTAACATATTCTTCAGATTAATTTTTAAACCAAGGATATGTTCAGTAGGTATTAAGAATCCTGTAAGATTAGAATCATAGAGGTTTACAGCATGGAAACAGGCCCTTCAGCCTGACTTGCCTATGCCACCCAGTTTTCACAATTAAACTCCTCCCATTTACCTGCATTTGATCCATATCCCTCCAGGCCTATCCCATCCATGTACTTGTCCAAATGTTACTTAAATGACAAAATTGTTCCGGTCTCCACCACTACATCTGGCAGCCCGTTCCAGACACCCTCCACGCTCTGAGGAAAAAGTGCTCCTCTGGACCTTTTTTCTCCCCTTTCACCTTAAATCTATGCCCTCTAGTTTCAGACTACCCTACCATGAGGAAATGTTGTTGGCTATCCACCTTATCTATGTCTCTCAGATTTTATAAACCCCTATAAGGTCACCCCTCAGTCTCCTACTCTTCAGGGGAATAAAAAAAGTCCCAGTCTATCCAGCCTCTCCTTATAACTGTCATAGAGGTTTACATTATTTGAACAGAAGGTACATAAGTGTCTGTAATGCCCTAGTCAAGATACCTCCTTCAACCAACTTTACCAATAAAAGACCAAGTGGCTATTTGTCTGATTACAGCTGGGAGGATCTTGGTGAACTATCAGCCCAAAATTGTTGTATTTCACAGTAATTCGTTAGATGAGGTGCCAAGAGACACACAGTAAAGAACTATAGAAAAACTAGCAATTTTCCTCTGCCACTCAGTTCTATTCACCTTGGATATTTACAATCATCTCCATGACAACTAAAAGATTTTGAAAAAGTAATGGCTGTAAGTGGTTTCTTGCTGAGTGACTAGTGCTTGCAGTAGAGTGCAAAAAATGATGCTCAAAAAGAAATTTGGTGAACATTTTAATTTGCCAGTTAGAAATATCATCAGATATTTGAACAAAGTTATTTCATTTGCATGCTGGATCCTAGCCATCTAGATTGATGTTGAGTAATAAGTCATTGCCAGAAAGCACTTGCACCCATCAAGGTACATTCTTAGCATATGGATTCTGCGGACTTTCAATCACTGGAATAGAATAAAACAAAGGACAAGCTATATCTTTTACAAAAAAAAAAAAATTCAGCTGTAGAATTAACTGCTCCTTTATCAAATTGTATGAAGAAGGCATCTATCTAATGACAATAAAGCTAATCCCATCAATTTGCTATCAGGAAAGACAAGAAAATTTTCAAAGCATTGTTAGCCATCTCAGTAGTAGTAAGCTGTATGTGTAATCCAGTTGGGTTTTTCCTCCCTTAAGCGCTTGGCTGAGCTATGGGATGTGAAGATGGATTTGTAAGCCTCAGATTTCTCTCCAGTTTCTGTTAGAGGTCGTTTGGTGACGCCAGAAGCAGGTTTACCAGGTTTCCCAGCTTTCCCAGCTGCAGTGGATGTGGAAGATGATGATGACTGTGCATTTGCTAGAAAAAAATAACATCAAGAAATCATTAGTCATTTGCCTTGTATGTCAAAGCAGTAGTTTGTTTTTACCCTTCCGAAAACTAATGTACATTGTGATAAGATTGCACTGCTGGACTGATGTACTTAATTTTTAACTGTAAATTCCTCCACAATATATCCTGTACCTTTGAACTATTCAGGTGGTTAGTTTGAGCAATTCTCCACCAACTTAACATGCATAAACACACTTCAAATCATGTTGAGTTCTTACACGATCACTGTTAAGCTGTAGAAAGACAGAAGATAGGAACAGGAGTAGACCATTCGACCCCTCGAGCCTGCTCTGCCATTCAATATGATCACGGCTGATCATCAAGCTCAATACCATAATTCCACCCATTCTCCCATATCCCTCGATTCCTTTAGCTACATCCCTTTTGAAACACAATGTTTTGGCCTCAAATACTTTCTGTGTTAGTGAATTCTGCAGGTTCACCATACTCTGGGTGAAGAATTTCTACTCATCTTAGTCCTAAAGCTTACTCCTTAAACAATGACCCCTAGTTCTGGACTGCCCCACCATTGGTGATATCCTTCCCGTATCTAACCTATCCAGTCCAGTTAGAAATTTTATTTCTAACAGGTTTCTGTGAGAATCCCCCCCTCATTCTTCTAAACACCAGTATATACAACCTAACTGACTCAAATTCTCATGTTAGTTCTGCCATCCAGGAATCAATTTGGTAAACCTTCACTGCACTCCCTCTCCAGCAAGAACATCCTTCCTCAAATAAAGAGATCAAAACTGCTCAAAACTCTCCAAGTGTGGCCTCACCAATACTCTGCATAATTGCAGCAAGACATCCTTGTTCCTGTACTCGAATCCTCTCTTTACTGCCTGCTACACCTATGCACTTCCTTTCATCAATTGGTGCACAAGGACACTCAGGTCTCCAAGTACTCCCCCCTCTCAATTTACAGCCGTTCAAATCATAACCCATCTTCCTGTTTTTGGCACCAAAGTGGATAATCTCACATTTATCCACAATACACTCCATCTGCCAAACACTGGCCCACTCACACCCTGTCCAAATCATGCTGCAATATCTCCGTATCCTCCTCCACAGCTCACCCTTACACAAAGTTAAGCTCTGGTTTTGTATCAAGCTCAAGAAAGGGAATTATCTTCTGAACATTCTGAATGACTGACATCTATTGTTGTTTCCTGAAAAACAGCTGCAAACAGTTAAAACGATTCCATCCTAATGATGTGTTGGTCCCTCACTAAATGCAAACACACAAAAACCACTTAAATAAAAAGAACTGTGGATGCTGGAAATCTGAAATGGAAACAGAAATAGCTGAAAACACTCAGCAGTTCTGGCAGCATCTCTGGACAGAAAGCAGAGCCAATGTTTTGAGTCCAGTGACCCTCCTTCAGAACTTCATATGAAACTAACTCCAGATATTGGATGCAAGAACTAGGAGCAGGAATAAGTAATTCAGCCCCTTAAGCTTGCTCTGCCATTTAATATAATCACAGTTGATTTCATCTCCAATTTTCTGTCCACTTTCCATAATCCTTCAACCCATCACTAATTAAAAATCGATCTCCTCAAAATTACTCAACATCCCTGCATCCACCATACTCTGAGATAGTGAATTCCACAGATGTGTGATAATTTGATAGAAGCAATTTGTCCACATCTGTTTTAAATCTGCTATCCCTTACTCTAAAACTATGACCTCTCATTCCAGATTGCCTGATCAAACATCCTTTCTATATCTACTTTGTCAATCTCCTTTACCATCTTAAATACCTCAATTAGATTTCCTCTCATTCTTCTAAACTGTAGTGAGTATAGCCCTAAACTGCTCAATCTCTCAAGACAAACATCGCATTAAAACCAATCCAGGATTAAAGAAATTAGATAAAGGGACTTTGATAGTCTGAAATCTAAAGAAGAGTACCAGCAGCAAATAACACGAGAGTTGCCTCACTTATTGCATGGTGAAGAATAACAGTACAAATTTCATGGACTGAGTGGCATATATCCAACTGGTACATGATTTCAATAACTTCGCCTCCAACTTCAGCATCAAGGGTTTAAAAAAAAAAGTGAGATTTGTTTATCCTGCATAGAAACTACACCAAGTAAAAACATTAGGCTCTATTCAGTGGCATCCAAAGCAAATACAGCTAATCAAATAAATGTGCCTGGCTCAAACAAAAATAGCTGACACTTTTCAATTAAAATTTTCGAATGAAATGTACACAGATTTTCTATTGAAAAGTTAATGCAAACTTTAGCAAGAAACTACAACCCAGTAATTTTAACACAAGCAAAGTATTTATAATGGGTATTGATTGATCTAATAGGTGAACATTTGTGAGATTTTGCGTTTGAAGAGGCAGCAAGGATTCAAGATTTTAAAAAGGTATGCCTGTGTAAACATATAAACACCAATCTCTGCAGTGATTGCCTTCATTATCTTTATCATTTTTGGTCTGGAATTGCAAGTTGGTGGTGACCTTTGGCTTTTTTTTTTAAAAAAAGAAAAACAAAAATTAATATTTATTTATGGGATCTGCCCAAAAAACAAAAATTAATATTTATTTATAGGACCTGCCCTGGAAGGTTAAGGTTGATTATTGTTCAAAGAACACTGTAGACAACAGAGCTATGTTGTGCTACGAGGCTGGCAAATGTTTGAATGTTATAAAAGGGCCATCACAGGTAGGCTGGTGCTGACCAAAAAGAGAATCCAAAATTGAACGGGTTTGAAACAGCATTACCAGAGGTTGCGGTTGTGAAATTTGGCTGTAAGGAGTTTTGGTTCCTCACTAGTTGTTTACCCATTACCGACCCACTGGAAGGTTCAGTATTAAATCACGACAGACAAATCACAGAAGCTGCTATTTCATTCTTTACATCAGGATCACAGAGATTAAATGTACTACTACTCCAGAAAAGCCAAAAAACAATCAATGTAGGAGCAAGTTACTGCAGATGCTGGAATCTGTACTGAAAACAAAAAATGCTGGAAATCACAGGAGGTCAGGCAGCATCTGTGGACAGACAACAAACCAACGTTGTAAGGCTAGACGACACCTCATCAGAGCCAGCTGATGCCATCCTATGGCACGCAGAGTGGAATTTAAATTTTGCTCCATCGCTTCCAATTTAAGAAGAGGATTCAAAACAAAATCGATCACAAGCTATTTAATATTATAAAAGAGATTTAAAATTAGTTTCAAACTAGAGATTCAAACTCAAGTCACTGCTAAGTAAGCTCCACTTCTTTCACGGCACTTCACGTTTACATCTATATAGAAATATACTTTAAAAATGCATGTATAAATATCTAATCAATGTAAATAACTGGTACTTGTTAATCCATCGGATGGCTCTGCCTCCCCCTCCTCCTCCTCTGGCCGCATGGCCGCGCGAACACAGCCAACGGACTCCCTTTACCAGAATGTTCCACCAGCTTCGCACGCACGCTCCAGCTGTTAAAGGATGTTCTCCCTCACCTCCCGCTTGAATTTTTAAATTTTTTTTGTACGAAAGGTGGTAAAGAATTGTATTTTAAAAATTTACTTTTCTCACATCTTTTAACCTGCCCCTCTGCCCACCACCACCAAAGCCGGGGATCTTTACTCGACTGATGGATGTAATTGGAGGTCTGAGATTTTATTGCTTGCACCCTCCCCTTTCTTTTTAAAGAAAGACACTATCGGAGAAGAGGTCATTTAACTATTAAAGGTCTGGGTTTCTTAGCCTCTGAATGGGAATAGGTGGCTAAGGTCACACTGCGAGGCCTAGTATTCAGGCTTCTTCCCCAGCCTCCTGGGTCTAATTGGGATTGGTGGGTGTTGCCCCCCACAGGGTGCCGCCATTCTTGGGTATTGCATGTTAGTGCTCATTAAACACTTAGAGGCCACGCTAAAGGACTTGTGATCCTACTGGCTCCATCCATTGTCGTAAGAGGAGAAGGGGGAACAGGGCAGCCACTGCGGTCTTAGAGTTAAAGGTAATACAAACACTCCCAGGAAACCAGTCTGCATTGCACCTCCTGGTAATTCTCAGTCAGTTCTTTAACATCCTTATTTAGAGACAAAAAAAACTGCAGATACTGGAATCCAAGGTAGACAGGCAGGAGGCAGGAGCACAGGAGGCTGGGCAGTGTTTTGGGGAGGGGAGCAGTCAACGTTTCGGGTATTGCTACTATATTATGCCCAAAACGTTGACTGCTCCTTTCCTCCGGGTGCTGCCTGGCTTGCCGTGTTCCTCCAGCCTCCTGTTTGTCTATCTTTAATATCCTTCACTTGCTGAGGGGTTTCAGATGATAACCCTTTCACAGTCCACATCCATTTTGCCTTCTATGTGCTCGTACTGACGTTCTGTCCAATTCTCATTGATTTTTGAGAAGTTTACTGCCCTTTGAGAATTTGACTTCTTAGCTAACATTGTTGTTAGTTTCTTCTCAGCAAAAACAGTTTGCATTTATATAACACCTATATTCAAACATCTTAAAGTGCTTTCTTTACAAAAGAATTATTTTAAAAGAAGTTGAGCAGAACCATGGAACATATTAGGACAGATGACTAAAAGCTCATTCAAATAAGCAGATTTTAAAGATATTTATTAGAGGATATAGGGATTTAGCTTTCAGGCATGAGACAGTTGTAGGTATAGGTGGCTACCCATAGTTGGGCAAAGGAAATCAGGGATATGCAAAAGATCAGAAAATTTCTCATTACATTTTTGCCTGTGACCAAATCTTCTATACATAGTTTTAAGCCTAATCACCCTAATCTAGCTGGTCTCACCTCATCTGATGCCCACACTTTGCTGCCAAGTAGAGCTGCTGGGAGCCCAGGTCAAAGTTAACTTAATTCTTTGTTTCTTGTTGCCAGAGGAAGCAAGTATTGTTTAATAATCATTAAGCATTTTGCAAACTTATTTAGCTTTAGCACAACATTTTTTGCTCTGTTTCTGAGTGTCAAAATTCAGCC